TCGCCGAAGTTATTATCGAGAGTATGCCGGCGATGAATGACGCGTACCGCCCGTTCTTCTTCATTAGGCACCAGAGCGGGAGGCTCATTAAAATTTGATCACGGCCTTTGGCTATCATGCTTCGAAATTAAATCCGATTTTAACGATGTAAGACGATCGAAAGAATTCGCTCGGCAGTTCTTCCGTACTTTTGTGAATGTCTCTATATTATTCTATTGCATTAGTACCATCAGCCAAAAAATGTATAATATTTAAGGATTGATAATATATTTTAAATATTTTATTTATCTTTATATATTTTATTTTGTATTTTTTATTTTATATATATATATATATATATATATATATATATTATATATATATATACGTATGTATAATATGCTTTATTAGATATAAAAAGTTTCTTGCAGCAGCAAGAAAAAATAGATCGGGACTCGGTAATAAATTGCGCATTAATATCGAAAATATTTTGTCGCTGTTTCGACACGTGGCGCAATTTCACTCTCAACAATCTCAAGAACTAATATTGGTTAAGAGCGATTTCTCCCGGGAGAGACCGTATGGGACAAGAGCCTAATTTATGTGAGTCGCGTTCGACTTAGCTGTTGCATTTATGTACCCGCTTATTCGTCTTGGCCGCAATGCAACCGGCGCAATCAAGCATAATTTATCTTCATTTCCTGTTTTGTCATTATCCAATGTAAACATTATATATATGTATGCATGAATCTAATTAATGTGTATTTTTTAATAGCAATATAAAATGATTTTTTTATCTAGTTTAATCTCTAATAGGTAAAACAAATGAAAACATTTGAAGGAATTTATTAATTAAGATTTTGAATAATGTAATTTAAGAAATTAAGAATGTCTTAATTTTTCCAGCTTGTCTGAGTTACAAGAATATTCTATATAAACACATACATTTACAATTATGCTTAGAGTACGTTTTAAAGAGAAAACAAAAAATTCGAGTTATGAATTACTTTCGAAATTGAAATAATATAAGAAATAATATAGTTTCCACACCCTTCTGTGGAAACCCTTTTTTCTTTGTTATCTCGCTGATGATGACCTCAAATATTGGTCATCGTTCGAATTGGATGTAAAGCAAGTTAAATACAAATTATCTATACATTTAATTAATGTTTGTGCACTAATGATGCGTTCGAAGAGACGCTATTAGCGCTACTTCTGTTATTCTATCTTCGTTGTTTATTAGACGTCAAACAAGGATAGAACGACACAAATAGCACTAATAGCGTCTCCCTGAACGCACCTTAAGTATCGCACAGCACTCGTATTTGCCTGATTTTTCTATATTATTTGAAAAAAAAAAGATTATATAAAAGATGCTACCATTAATCTTCCCTATGCTCGCGCATAATCGATGATCCTTGCGAGAGACTTACCTTTGTACACCTAAAACGAAATTGTTGCCAGCGTGCACTAGTGCTTCATGCGCTTGTCCGTGAGTCAAGTTGATAATCGATTGATCGTTCAATCTTACTACGACATCTCCGACTTTTAAACCCATACATTCGCCCAAGCTTCCTTCTGTGACCTGTAGATTACGATTTTTTCAATCTTAATTTTATCCTATTTTTTTTTTAATCTTTAAGATTTAATTATTGAGACACTAATCAAAACAATGATATTTTATATAATTAAATTGTTACGATTGAAATAAGAACACACATCACATTCTATATTTATGTATTTCATGTTCAGAATACGAAAATAATTAATGTTACTTGAATTATAATTTTGAAATTTTATAATGTTCACATTAATATTAATAACCGTTAGATAAGGAAAATATAAAACTCACTCTGATAACAGTAAGTGGCTGCGGAAAATCGCTGCCACCAGCTAGTCGAAAGCCCCATGGTGTGTTGTCAAATTTTGTAAATTTTATATTGATTGCCATGATGCTCTACATCTGAAATTATATTTAATAGACTATTTAATAGATTTTTTTACGATAAGGTGATAAAATCTATGAAATTTATATAATACAACACTTTTTTTTTGCAGAATCCTAAATGTTACGTAATAATGATACGGCAACACGAAAGTTGGATACGGGCTTTTTTCAAATTCCAGTGCTATTTTAATGTTGTTTACGAATGCGACCGAGGAAGCAAATAATCCTATATGTATATCCTGATGAGTGATAAAAATATGCGTCATTTAGAGAGGGGTCAATGATTCCGTGTTACGTGAAGTGCCAAGGTAAGATATGTCTAAAAATATAATCATAACTCTTAAATAGAATTCAAGCCGGTAAATAGGTTTTAATTGGCAAGCGAGCAACATGTATGACGAAATCAAATGTCATTAAATGATTAATGATACATCTTTTTAACTTTGTTATTATTACTAAATCAATATGAAATAAAATCAAAATTTAATTTGCACAACGTATCTTTTTTTCTTTATAAATTCGAAACATCAAGTGAAATCGCGATCCGGCAAAGTGCTGGAGTTTTGCGCAATATAATCGAAATTCAATTTTCTCGATTCAAATTTCGATTTATCTACAATAATACAAGCATCTTTTAAAATTTTTAGAGTAAATCTCTGTAGAATGAAATCTTACTCCTAAGAATTGAACATTAAGTCACTCCTTTTCAAGACTGACTCAATTTTCTTTAGAATAAGTAGATTCCACTCGAACAAAATTTAGAGTTCACAGCGGAAAAATCGAATTCCTTCATCGAGTAACTCACAATTTTTGTTACACGTACACGATTCGCCGAAAGTATTCGACTTTCAATTCATTTGCAGCTACAATTCAACTTTTGTATACAACGAATTATATACTCTCTAAATTTTTTTTAGTGGAATCTTATTCTAAAAAAATAAAAATTCAACTATAGCGTTGAAAAAGAGTAGCTCAATTTTCAGTCTTGAAGAGTTAACTTTCGCTCTTCGGAGTAAGATTCACTCTAAAAGTTTCAGGGAGTGGTTTAAATCTTTCTTGCAAGCTCGTAATAAGTAGCATAATCCCGACGGATCAACATCGCAATCTCTCCTTCCGTTTTACTCCCGTGCGCGTCTCGTCGCGTCGACCCGCAAATCCGCGCTATGCCGACGCGGAAGTGGCGGTATCCGAATATAGAGCGTATGACGAGGTGGTCCCGTATGCCGATGGTGCGATATATTCCACTCGGTGATGTCGTGTATATTACTTGCCGAGCTTATCTAGTACAAGCTTATCCAAAGCGAATTAGGGAGGGGGGGTGTGGTGGCTACTCTCGATCGGATGCAACGCGTGTCGCGTGGACGAGAATGTACGCGCGATCCGGGGGACTCACCGCTGGTGCATGACACGCCCGAGACGCGCGAAACGACCGCTGGAGCTGGGCGAGCCGTGCGACTAGTGCGAAATAAAGCCGGTGACGGAAGGACGGGCCGGGCCCCGGCTGAAACGGTGTCACGACAAGCTTTGCCAGAGGGCAAGACGCACCGGAGCTTGCAAGCTGCAAATACTACACGAGGGGCACGAGCATCCGATGACGCGGCCGCACGATCTCGCGCCGGCTCGAGGTCTATTTACTGATCGATCTATATTGGATTTGAGCCTCGATTTCCGGTGGCGAATTACGCCCGCCTCCGTCCGGACGAATCTGCGGATCCGAGTGGATGCTAAATGGAATGCTCTCGAAAGAGAAGGAATTAATTTATATGTAATCGAAATATCTTCTATTCTCAATTGTATTGCAGAAAAAAAAAAACGTCTTTATCGTCAAGAATGAACTTCACATATATATCTTGATATGATAAGAAAAAAATAAATCTTAAATAATAAAAATATGACTATATAATATCGGAATATTTTGTAAGGAATTTGAATGGATTTGTGGATTTATTATGAAGGTTTCTTCAGTAATATATTGAAACTTTAGATGAATGAATTGAATCTCTTGCGAATTATTGTGTATACTTAAATTGAATATTTCTTTGAAAAAAAAAAATTAACTCTCTAAACTTTTAAAGTGAATCTAGTATTCTAAAAAGTGAAACTTTTAACGATGGGAAATTAAGCCACTGTTTTTCAAGACTGCTCAATTTTTAAGAGACGTTTAAGATAAAGTATAGAGAGAAACTGTATTCGCTGCGTCATGATTTTTCTCGTTTTTTATGCATTTTACGCATGAATTAGTGTTACTGTATTTTGTTACGTTTTGTAAAATATTTCTTATAATGATAACGCACGTGAACATTCAAGTATTCAATACCTAGTAAATTCTCCCAAATGTAAACACTTTATGATTATCTGTGTGATTTTCATATCTTGATCATATGTCATATCAGCTAAAATAAAATAAAATTGAGATGATTGTAACGAGACACTTATGTATTTACGTGTTCGCAACATTATGTGTACCAAGTATGTCAATTATGTAGGATCTATTTACTGATTGATATATTTAGACGCATGGGCGTCGCGATATCGCTTTCTGACGTATTCTGTACTACTTATATGTTTCATGACATAGTCTGAAAGATAAGGCATTGTGATAAAGATCATTTTTGACTCTCCCTTACAATTCAAACAAAACTGGGAGAAATATACCTCCATATCGGTCTTGATAATTCCCCAAAAGAATGTGATCCTAAATCTCGTCATTTTGTACGTGTGCGTGTGTGTACACACACATATACGCAGAGAGGGGGGGTAGAGGGAGAGGGAAAGGGAGAGGGAGAGGGAGAGGGAGAGGGAGAGAGAGAGAGAGAGAGAGAGAGAGAGAGAGAGAGAGAGAGAGAGAGAGTTGATTTTAGCGCTTCGAGTGAATTTTTTAATCAATTATAATTCTTGAAGCATCATGAAAATAAAATTTATTCACATTTATTAATACGTACAAATTATTTTCGAATATATGATCGAAATTACGAATATATAAAAACGATATAAAAACGATATAAAAATATTTTGAACAGTTCTTATCTAGATTCAATTAATTAAGTCTCTTTATTTCCATCTTTATTTTTTCCTATATCTTATTATTTTCTTCATCTCCTTTATCTTTATTATCTTTTTCATCGTTGTTATCTTTACTATCTTCATCAGCATTATTTTCTCTTTCAGATATTTCGTTTTCAGAATCTTCCAGTGGTCGTTGAATTGACTTGTTTTCATATGTTTTGATAATTTCAGTACTAATATCTTGCAATAAACTTGATGCACCGATTCTGAAAAGATTGCTTGTCAACCAATCATTCCCCAATTCTTCTTTAACCAAGACCATCCATTCTAAAGCGTCTTGCGCAGTCTTAATTCCTCCGGCAGGTTTAAAGCCAGTCTGTGAAAATGAATTAAAGCTATATTATATAGATCTCGATTATCACAAATAATTAAATTGCTATACCTTTCTTCCGGCCAGTCTTTCAAACTCTTTTATCGCTCTACACATAACAATTCCCGCTTGCAAAGTCGCATTAACTGAATCTTTCCCTGTAGATGTCTTGACGAAATCAGCGCCGGCAAATAGAGCTACCATGGTTGCCTTATAGACATCTTTCAAATTAAACAATTCTCCTGATGATATTATAACTTTTAAATTTACCGTCCTTTCCTTAGTCTTAGGTAAAAGTGTACAAATAGAAAACAATTCTTGAAACAATATCATCCATTGATGATTTAAAACTAACGATCGATCAATCACAACATCTATTTCATCTGCTCCATACTCTATTGCGTAGCTCACTTCCTGCAATCGAGTCTCCAATGGGAATAGTCCAGAAGGAAATCCTGCTGCCACTGATGCAAAAAATATATTAGATAATATTGTTACATTCATATCAGGTCAGAAAAAATGTTTCGTTTCTTACCACTAGCGACCTTAATTACATGCATTTTCTTCAATTTCTTTAAGGAATTTATTGCATCTTTTATTTTGGATGGATAAACACAAACAGCAGCAGTATGAAGTGGTTTATTCCATTGAAATGGAAGCTTCTTTATAGGGTTTGCAGCCTGTAATATTAATTAATCGATCAATTATAGATATTATATCAACATTAAAGTAAAAAATAATAACTCCATGTTCCAATTTACATTTTCACACAATTGTTCTACGGTGCTCTTTGTATCATCGTTATTCAAACTAGTTAAATCAAGGAAACTTATTGCCTTTAGTAACCAAGCAATTTTATTGTCCTCTGTTATTGTGGTTGCTAAATAAGATATTTGTCGAACACATTTGTTTACTGCTGGTTCATTAATATACGCCTCCAAGCTTGTTAACCAGACTAAAAAATAAAATTGAAATATAATATATTAATATTTATATATTATACAATATATTATAACTTGATATACAATATATAATTCTTATTATTTACACGTGCATACATACTCATATATATTGCACAAAAAAATAATATATAGAGATGCTTGCATGAAATAATATAGAATCAGAGAATTATTAATAGCATTAATTAATTACCTTGAATTTCGTCGCTCGCCTTGAACTTTGGGGAACGACAATCCATGACTTCGGGAGAAAACTTGGATAAACTTATATGAAAACTGTATCAAACTGACAGACTGTGATTATCGTACATCCAACAATGTCCCTGTTGATCTGTTTTCTTTTCTTCGTTTTATCGGCTGTCCCAGACCTTTCTTAGTCTGATATGGCCAATGTTCTGTTGATTTGCGTTTTCGTTTGAAATAAGATGTGCAATTACGTATTCTCCACTGTTACAAGTGATAAGCATGATAGGCACGATACGCAGAGATATAGAATAATACAGAACTATAGGCACTCATAACACATGATACATACACAAATTTGTTCGCATTTAGGACTAGAGATAACAACCGTTTCAAACATATTTCTTGTATTTATATATTTTCAAAGAGTTTATTTTGTATTTTTATATTGCGGATCAGTAACTGTTGGAAAAAATATACAGACTTTTAGACACTTTTATACACACACACGCACGCACGAACACACACGACACATACACATACATACATACATACAATCTACCTCATCGATAAACAGTGAGTTCTATAATATACTGGAACACGCTTTCTCTACTAAATTATAGGAAACTACAGCCTGGCAGAGAAAAGCAGGCAAATACTTGTCCTAACTCTTTCCTTATGTAAAACAACGTTCAGCAAATCCTCCAAAAAAAAAAAAAAAAAAAA